TGCACATTAGCTGTGCAAGTTGCAAAGTTTTAAACTGCCACAAAACCAGCAGAATGAAAGAAGAACTGAAAACTAGGCAACGGAGGAGCTCTTATCAGACCACCTTGAACCAGTTCAAAAGACAAATGGCTGGACACAGGTGCCACTTTTAATGTTTACAACACGGGCAAAGTTTAATCTGGCCAATAAATGTCATTGAGTCCTGTACTGGAGCGCCCACAATGCTTTCAATGGAACCTTTGTTACATTTCCTTGATCTCCGGGCACAATGTTTAACGCTTTTTGATGTGTGTGGGCTTGTGTGGCTGTGTTTATTTAGCAGTCAGATTTCTCAAAGTACTTTTTTTCAGTCTCACTCTCTCTTTCTTTCTATCTCTTAGCAAAAGCAGAGCAAGAGAAGCAGAGTAAGTCACAGTCATCATCATCATAAATAAAAATATAATACTCTCGAGCTCTACGATTACTACTATTACTACGATGAAACTATGAGATCTCACACATACTGATGAAAGACAGTGTGCCGCGTTAAAACCTTAAACACTAGCAAGTTTCCAACTGATTGTCCCAATGTGATAACCACCACCACCGCACTAAAGGGCAGCAATGTGTGGTGGTTGTGCCTTCTCACTTTCACTTTCGCCTAGTTTTGTTTCTTTCTGGTCAAACTTTGGCCGATCACGACATCACTGCCAAGAAAGAAGTGGTGCACCGCCGCCGCCACCGCCACCAGTGCACTGATAAGAAAGACAGCACACACTGAATGGCAGTGTCTTCTAAAGCTAACCAGCAAAAAAAAGTAAAAGAAGTGAGAGAGAGGGGAAGTTGTGGAAAAGGAAGGAGGCTAATCGGCCAAATGGCTTGCGTCAAAAGAGGATGAAATTTTTGTTTTGCTGGCGGTGATATCTCTTGCCGTTGTACTTTTTTTCACTTTCAGTCGTACTCTCAGCTGTCTGATTTTTTTGGTTTGGGGATTCCAAAATTTGCTCTCTTTGTCAGTGTACTGCTCAACTTTTTCATCCCCCACTTCTAAATCACATCCTTCTCTCGCTCCCTCTTTCTCTCTTAAAGATTGGTAAAACCTTTTTCTCTGCTTTTGTTTCTGATGAACATCAGCCCACCACCACCACCACCACCACTAATCTTAAATGCTGCATCGTTGATTACATTAGCCGCCGTTTTCTTGGCTGCCTTTTCTCCTCTTCTTTACTTCTTTCGACTGCTTGCTTACTTGCTTGCTTGCTTGCTTATCACCGGAAATGCCTTGCCGCACAGAGGCACTGCCGCTACCATTTTGCCAAGAACATCTAAAAGAAGTGGAAGTGGTTAGCCTGCTTCTTTGCTTTTCTGCCTCAGCTTTCCAAACGGAAGTGCTGACCCGGAGCAAGGCAAGCCTGCCTGACCATTACCACTGCTACTTCTACTCACTACTTTCACTACTTTGCTCTCAAAGTTCAAAGCTATTGAAAGCTGTACAATGCTGCCGTTGCTGCTGCTGCTGTCTTTGCTGCAGTAATTCACGTAGTTTAATTCAGCCATCAGTGCTGAACCTCCAATGAACTAGTAGTGCTGAATGCTCCTCGAATACTACTCGAAAAAGTCGACGACTGCCAGTGCGAGCACGTCGAACGTCGTTTTGTCACTGTCACTGTCGCCGGCTGGACCAAGCCTGAAATCTTGCCTGGACTTTGTCGCTGTCGCTGTCGTTGCTGTCCTTTGCTCTTCTTCTGTTCCATTCTTCTTCTTCCTTTTCCCTTTCCCTCCTTTTGCCTAATAGTATAATAAATGTAAAAGGCAATTTCAGGCAACTGAGTGAGTGGGTGAGTGAGTGAGTGAGTTTGCTTCAGTGAGCACACTGAAAACTGCCAACTGTCCAGCGCACAACATCGAAGAGGAGAATATTTGGTAGTTAAAGTGAGTAGGGTTCCCTTCCCCTTCCCTCCCTTCCTCCTCCTTTGGATTCTTTAATTTAAAAGGCTGCAGAAAGCTCAGGCAAAAAGAGGAAAAAAGCAGGCAGAACTGTGTGTCTTTGCAGACGATTTGGGTGTCAGTTCTGGTACTGGTGGTGGTGGTGGTGATAGTGCTAAATGACGCCGACCTCGAGGAGGGCGCGCGCATGCGATCCCTAATTACGGCGCCTATTGTGACTCTCTCTTTCTCGGTGTATTTCAGCCTGCTATCCTGCCTATCCTGCCTATCCACACTACCGACACGAATGGATCCCCTCTGTACCCTTGTGCACTCTTCTTTGCACTCCTTCNAGAGGAAAAAAGCAGGCAGAACTGTGTGTCTTTGCAGACGATTTGGGTGTCAGTTCTGGTACTGGTGGTGGTGGTGGTGATAGTGCTAAATGACGCCGACCTCGAGGAGGGCGCGCGCATGCGATCCCTAATTACGGCGCCTATTGTGACTCTCTCTTTCTCGGTGTATTTCAGCCTGCTATCCTGCCTATCCTGCCTATCCACACTACCGACACGAATGGATCCCCTCTGTACCCTTGTGCACTCTTCTTTGCACTCCTTCTTCCCCAGCTTGCTGTCTGCTGCTGCTGCTGTGACTGTGTGTGAATCCCCGGGACTCGTCTGAGACGAGGGCTCAGTGTGGCGTCGGCACAGCAGAACCCAAAACGGACACTCCACCTTCTTCTCGCCCTTCTCCTCTCTCTCTCTCTCGCTTTATTCTCTCATTTTCTCATTCTCTCATTCTCATTCTCATTCTCTCAATTTCAGGAGGCACACACACACCGTTCGTTGGCGATCGTCGCGCAGAATGCACCGAGGAGACGGCGGACAGAATGAAAGAGAGGAAAGGAGAGAAGAAGAGAGGACAACTGAAAGCGAGAGCTTGAAAGTGAGAGAAAGAGAAAGGCGCCAGTTTCCTCTACCCACCAAGCAGCAGCAGCAGGCCAGAACAGTCGCCACCGAGGCTGCTGCAGAAGCTGAAGCCAAAGCCGAAGCCGAAGCCAAAGTGTCAGTCAGTCAGTAATGTCAGTCAGTCAGTGCCACCAGAGACGTCGGTGAGCTAGCAGCAGCAGCAGCAGCCATTCAGTCGCCTCTATTCACGACTCTACAGCTACAACCACGATTACCACCATCACCATCACCATCACCACCACTACCACCCCGCCGACACCAACGCTGAACACAGGGCAGCAGAAGAGCAGACACCGTCGGTGAGATAGCATTGAATGGAGAGAGCAAAAGAAAGAGAAAGTAAAAGTGAAAGCTGAGGCTGAGTATGGAAAAGCAGTGAACCGACGACGCCGCCAAACGTTTTCGTGCTGTGCTGTGCTGAAGACAGACACCGACGACCACGACCACGACGTTCAGCTCTCGCGCCGAAATTAGTATTACTTTTTGGCCATGGCTTTTGACCCTAGATGAGCGTTTTTCGGCTTCACCATCACTACCATTATTTTAATGTTTAAAATGTGTTAGTTTTGTTTTTTCTCCATTTTTCCCCTTTTGGTGCCATCTCACCTCACCTCACCTTACCTACCTTTTTAATCAATGACATTAACGAGAGAGAAAAAAAAGAAATTAATTAATTAATGTTAGCTGTACAAATTAGGCGGTAAAAAATTGTGTGTTTGTTTTGCAAGTGCCCCCCTCACCCATTTACTCCTCATCATCGACTACGCTGATTTTTTTTCTTATACATCAGCCAACTTCTCTACACTGTACCCTAAACCCTTAGCAACTACCTTTTGCACCTTTCGCGCCCTGCTGTACAAAAGCTGAGAAGGCAAGAAAACAACAAAGCCAGCAAATCCTGATAGATTCTGATTTACGGGAGAAAAGTTACATCCAACACAAATTGCCATCACACTGCTGCAACCCTCAGCTTTCCTTTTCTCCAAGCTAAACTGCTTAGCTCAGAGTCAGCAGCATCAGCTACTGATTACTGGGCACGAGTTGTTTGCCCGCTTTGCACTCATTGCATTCATTCATTGCCTCCTCTCTTCACTACTACTTTTGCTAAGTGCCAGTGCCACTGTGTTTGTCTGCCTGCCTGTGTGTTTCCACTACCACTGTTTGCGACTATCTATCTCCACCGGCCTATTCTTGTTCCCCTACTTTCTTCCTTTCTGGCGCCAGCTCGTAAGCCACCTTAAATAGCTCGTGTCGCAGCTCACTGGCAGCAGCACTGCGCGACAGAGTGATAGAGAACTGAAGACCGGCACTGAAAAACACTGAAAGAAGAGAAAGAAAGAGAATGAGAGGGCGAGAGAAAATTACACTTAATTTGCATAAAAGTGTATAAAACTCTCAGCGGGATTAGTGTTTGAAAGAGGGCGCGCGAGCAAGAACAGAGCAGAAGTGTGTGCACTAACTGTGTGTGCAGCATCAGCATCAGCAGCAGCACCATCATCATCATCGACTGCAACAACAGCAATACTAGCACTACTAGCTCTCGATTTATCACCACCACCACCACTGTTCTTACTTCTTTTCTCCGCTCTTTTTGCCTTACTTTTTGGTGGCAGCTACTACTTAACTTCTTCTTTCTTTTTCTGCCCCTCACTTCTTTGTCCTCTACTCTCTCATTAAGTCTCGCTGTGAGTGCTTCAGTGTGTTGGAGTGCTGTTGTCGGTTGTTTTGTGTGTTTGCAGACAAGAGTGTGTGTGTCTGCACTACTTTTCAACGATTCTGTCTGTCTGTCTGTCGCGACGCTGTCCTCCACCGTCGACCGTTGTTAGCAGCAGAAGCAGCAGCAGCAGCCGAAACTGTGCTCCTTATGACAAAAGTTCAGTCTTCAGCACATTCTTCTTCCTCTTCGTTGCCATCACCACTGCCACCACCACCATCACCACCAATAACTTCAGCACTGCTGACTAAGCGGTCTTCATCACTACCACCACCACCACCACTTAATCACCACCATCAACACCACCTCCACCACCACCACCACCAGTCCCCTTATCACTAGCACCCCTTATCATCACCATTATCACCACCTCACCACTTTAGTGTTGAACTTGTATGGAACTTGACAACGTAAACATGGACGCCAAGACACCGATGCTTCGAGGCGCCCCAGCCTCTTCAGGAGGAGGAGGCGGCGGCGGCGGCCAGCACTCGATCACCGTGCCCACCACCGTCCGCCTGACGCCCCCGGAGCGGACCGGCGCCTCCGCCGTCTGGGGCTGGCTGGCGGACAACCTCCTCCTCATGCTGACCATCCTCTCCGTCGTCTTCGGCCTCGTGCTCGGCTGTCTGCTCAGATACATCAGCTACGACGACGAGTTCGTCATGCTGATCGGCTTCCCCGGCGACCTGCTGATGCGAATGCTCAAGATGCTCATCATCCCGCTGATCGTCAGCTCGATGATCGCCGGCCTCGCCCAGCTCGATGCCGCCTCCAGCGGGCGGATGGGCCGTCGGGCCATTCTCTACTACTTCGGCACCACCCTACTGGCCGCCGTCCTCGGCATCATCCTCGTCATACTGATCCACCCGGGCAACCCGCGCATCAAGGCGGAGGCGATGAAGGCGGTGAAGGCCAGTGAGACGAGGGTCAGCACGCTGGACGCCATGCTCGACCTGATACGGAACATGTTCCCGGAGAACCTCCTCCAGGCGGCCTTCAGCCAGGTGAAGACGGAGTTCGTGCCCGGCGACCGCCTCAACTTCACCGACCCCCGCTACGCCCCCCGGGACCTGAACTGGGACCGCGTGCTGAACGTCACCGACCCCATAACCAACATCACCGAGTACCACAAGGCAGTGCGTTCCTTTCCCTACAAGGACGGCTCCAACGTCCTCGGGCTGATTGTCTTCTGCACCGCCTTCGGCATCATCTGCGGCCAGCTCGGCCAGGAGGCGGACACGATGATCCGCTTCTTCGTCATCCTCAATGAGATCATCATGCGCATCGTGGTCATCTGCATGTGGTACTCGCCGATTGGCATCGCCTCGCTGATCATCGCCAAGATACTGGCCATCGCGGACATGTACACGGTGGCGCAGCAGCTCGGCCTGTACATGCTCACCGTCATCACGGGGCTGATCATCCACGCGGTGGTCACCCTGCCGGGCATCTACTTTCTCGTCACGCGGAAGAACCCCCTTACCTTCTTCAAGGGCATGCTCCAGGCGTGGGTGACGGCGCTGGGCACCGCCTCCTCCGCCGCCACCCTGCCCATCACCTTTCGCTGTCTGGAGGAGAATCTGCACATTGACAAGCGGGTAAGTGCTGGGCAGTTGCTGTTGATTGCAATTGCGTTTAATAGCTTGAAAGTTTCTTTCTTTTCCGCAATTTTTGTTTACTGCCCTTCTCTCGGTGGATTCATTAGCCGCTTCAGTTTTTCATCAGCAAAAGTGCACTGGTGATTGCTGCTACTGCCGGGCAGCAACAACAACAACAACAAAATTGCCAATTTGAAGTTTTTGTTTTGCTGCTGCTGAAGTCAGTTTGTTTGGCAAACTGAGTGAGTGTGTGTGTGTGTTTGCGTTTCTAAATTATTAAATTAGCCTTCCTCCAACTTTGCTGACCTGCTGCTGATGGTGCTGCCCAAGCGTCCATTGCAGCAGCAGCAGCAGCGGCACCCGAGTTAATTCTATTAACTGCAATTAGAGCGCGGGCAACGCTGGCTGGATCTCGTTAGCGAGCACATGTTTCATGCACTGTTTGAGCTGCTTGTACAGAGAGCTTGCAAAAAGAAGAGAGTACACGGTGTCTTACGTGAGTGTGTTAGTTCTGTTGCTGAAGTCAGGAGCCATTTAGCTGAGGGATCTAGCTTGCAGTGATGATGATGATGGCGGTGGTGGTGGACCTGGTGCAACTCTGTGGTTCCCCTACTCCTACTGGCTAAGTGCGCCAACCTTACATTGCCGCTGCTATATGCTAATGGCAGGACAAAAATTTTAATTCTCAGCCGTCTCAGAAATCTCAGGTGCAGGAAAGAAAAGTGTACCAAAGTTTGCTTTGCTTTTTGTCTGCTGTTAAAAGTGATTCTTTTAGATTCTAGCGGGCTTCTTTAGCGCACTTTTGTTGTTTGTCTGTTGCCGCTCGTGTCTGAGTGTCTGAGCGTCTGCGTTTATGTGTTGACAGGC